ACCCACGGAGGTCGAGTTGAGCGGAGACCCTGACGGGCAGCGTCACAGCCTCAAACACGTGCTCGTGGGCCTCCTGGTTCGCACTGCACAGGCAGGGAGACAAGGGGGCGACGCGGATGAGGATGCTCGCGCGGCGTGAGGCAACAGGGACTCTGCGGCGGTGGTGGAGGGGAAATGTTGTCTCCGTTGCCGAGCACGCAGAGAGTCGTGGATTTGATACCGGACCATGACGATGCCTGTTGTATATTTATAGTTTGCGTGTTTTTCTCTCTCTCTCCCAGTGGTGGTCGCATGGATTGTTCTTAGAGTACTCCCGTTTTTCCCTCCACATTTAGAAATACGCGTTCAGATGATGTGGCTGCTGCTATGAAATCCCACAAGCGGCGATGATGATGATGAAGCCACTTCGATGAAGCCAGGTTCCCTCTGACAAAGAGCTCATAGCTCAGTGGGCTTTTTCTGGTAACATAAAACAACTAGATCAATTAGTTTAGTTTATATCGATGAACCAGCACTTTGGCATGATGTGACAGAGATGACAGAGAACCTAAACATAGTCGTGACTGAACAATCGTCAGGCCCGATTCCAGAGCAGATCGGAATGCGGTGCAGCGGAAACGTTCCCCACACACATTTCGCTCATTGCATTGAGGAACTTGCCTCGAGGAGGTCGTTCATGTGAGCCAAATGAGAAGAGCCCAAAAGCGCCCCCACAGATATCAGGCTAATCACCGTAGAGCGGCAGGGTCGGGTGACACACACACATTACACACACACATTACACACACACACATTACACACACACACATTACACACACACACATTACACACACACACATTATACACACACACATTACACACACACACATTACACACACACATTACACACACACACATTACACACACACACATTACACACACACACATTACACACACACACATTACACACACACACATTACACACACACACATTACACACACACACATTACACACACACATTACACACACACACATTACACACACACACATTACACACACACACATTACACACACACATTATACACACGTACACATTACACATTACACACACATTACACACACACATTATACACACACACACATTATACACACACATTACACACACACACATTACACACACACACATTACACACACACACATTACACACACACACATTACACACACACACATTACACACACACATTACACACACACATTATACACACACATGTACATATCACACACATTATACACACACATTATACACACACATGTACATATTACACACACATTACACACACACATTATACACACACATTACACACACACACATTACACACACACACATTACACACACACATTACACACCACACATTACACACACACACATTACACACACACACAACACACACACATTACACACATACATTACACACACTTATACACATTACACACACACACATTACACACACACATTACACACACACATTACACACACACACATTACACACACACACATTACACACACACATTACACACACACACATTACACACACACACATTACACACACACATTACACACACACATTACACACACACACATTACACACACACACATTACACACACACACATTACACACACACACATTACACACACACACATTACACACACACACATTACACACACACACATTACACACACACACATTACACACACACATTACACACACACACATTACACACACACATTACACACACACACATTACACACACACACATTACAACACACACATTACACACACACATTACACACACACACATTACACACACACATTACACACACACATTACACACACACACATTACACACACAACATTACACACACACACATTACACACACACACATTACACACACCACATTACACACCACACATTACACACACACACATTACACACACACACATTACACACACACACATTACACACACACACATTACACACACACATTACACACACACACATTACACACACACATTACACACACACACATTACACACACACACATTACACCACACACATTACACACACACACACATTACCACACACACATTACACACACACATTACACCCACACACACACATTACACACACACACATTACACACACACACATTACACACACACATTACACACACACATTACACACACACATTACCACACACACATTACACACACACACATTACACACACACACATTACACACACACACATTACACACACACACATTATACACACACACATTACACACACACACATTACACACACACATTACACACACACACATTACACACACACATTACACACACACACATTACACACACACACGTGTCAACTGATTCACACGGCTCACAGCCTCCTTGCAGACCCTTTCTGCAAAGCGGGGAAATCATTCTGCAAAGTGCGGACTGGGCCGTGCAAAGCTGCGGGATGAAATCTACAGAGATGGGAGCGGCTGCAGCGCGTGCGGAATAGCTCTTGCGCTTCGTAAACGACTCGGTGCTTCCATGAGTCCCGGCGAGTGAATTGGGAGGAGGCTTGGAAAGCCACAGCAGGGAGCACCACTGCACCCCTCCCGAATAAATATAAACAACTCAACACCTACATTTTTTTTATTATTATTTATATTTATTTTATTCACTTTATTATTATTTTTCTATCCACGTTACCGAAAGAACCAAAGAATGTGAATTCCTGCAGTCACGAAAGTTTTAAGTCAAAATTTAACTCAAAACATCCACGATCAGCTCCGAAGAAGGGGGCCCTTTGCCCAAATCGTCACCTATGATATAGTTTTTATTTTATTTTAATGCCAAAGTATTATTGACGAATGTGTCGAATTTATTTTAATTAAGTGTTCCACTGCCAACGCGGCTGCATCACCAACATTGCGACCAACACGCATGGATAGGACGCAAGCGTCGTTATTTAACCAGGAGATGAAATGAACCCCAACGGTTGACTGAAGCTTGACCGACTGATTGAATTCTAAATTATTTTAGAGACGAGGCAGAGACATCTCGTCGAGCCCACGTTGATGACTGGAGAACACCCAAAAAAACCTTTTTGGGAAGAAAAAAAAGTGTTGGCCACCAACAACAGCGGACTGCTTTCACTTATTGAGCAGGGTCATCGGAACGTTGTACAATGGCAAATACACAACCATCATCAGCGAACCGGGTAATTCACCTCCCACAGCGCGTGATCCTATCAGCAAACGCTAGGCCGCTACCGTTTACGACTTGTATCTAAATAAACATGGACAGGGTCACGAGGTCATCGCAACCAATGCCACTGATAGCAACACAAGTTGCCATCCTGCAACTGTTGCTACAATCGACCACTGAGGTCTGAGGTGTGCGGGCTCAGTGTGAGGCCAGTGGACGACCATCCCAAACCACGACCATCTACTTCAACCGTGGAATGTTCACCTAAAGGCCCAACGTAAAAACCATCGCCGCAGTGGCTGCATCGATGGCTTTTTGCCGTGACGCACTTCATTCTGGGGGGGGGGGGGGGATTTAGAACTCATTTTGTCAGAATAGAGGAGCCTCTCAATCGCCTCTCACCGCGTTCAGGATTCGGCATTTTCACGTAGAGAAACTCACACCATAAACTGACGGTCACTCCAAAGTTTCAGGCCGTGTCCCAGCTCCATTCTAACTCCTCCCTCCCTCTGTGGGGAATGCATTCAGCCGAATGCAATCCCCACAAATGGCGGAATTCATCTGTGTGTAAATCTGGGAGCAGTTCCACCTCAATTTCCTCGAGGCCATCAGTCCACCACAAGGAGCCGAACGATGCCCCCTCGGGATGCTTAAGTTGGGCCTCCATCTTCCACACGTGTACATTTAAACTAAAGGGAAACCATTTAAAATTCAAGCTGCATCACTTATGTGCCGAGTCCGGTAACTCTCGTGCTAATGTCAATGCAAATACATTGCAGTAGGTATCATATTGTGACGAAGATAACAAAGATAATCGTGTGTAAAAGCAGCTGGTATGGGCATCTGCTAGGCAGCCTCAGCATCAATGAGGTAATAGCTCTATTTTTCAGAAGCGACTGACCAAAAATGATAGCTCAACAAAAGTGGCTTATCATGTGGAAATTTTAAGCAGCCAAATAAAACTCAACGCATTTTGATTCTAAATGTGTTGAGGTAAATAACCAGGAAAAAATACACATGACCACTCCAAATATACAGGCGTTCGGCTCGTGATCGAACCCACCACATCTTTCATACCAGACGAGGGAGAAAACATCTCACCAAGGGGAGCATCTAAAGTGTACACGTGAACTTAGCAATCTTCATCAACATCAAACATGTCTCAGAGTGCGGTGAGTGGCGAGTGGCGAGTTTATTATAGCCGCAGGACAACGGAGCCGCCGCCAGCGAGAAACTTTGATTCCGAAGCACAGAATGGAGGCTATGGCTTGGAGACTTGCGGCACCAGCAGCTAGAAATAACAAACAGGGCCCTGCGTGCGGGAGAGGGGTCTCGAGTTAAACGTACCCACTGCTGACAACACTTCCATGTGGACGTGGTTCATTTATTTTTGTATTTTGGCTTAACAGCTGAAAAGTGTAATCAGTGTGTTATTCCTCTGCTGCCACTCGAGTCATATCAAAAGGAATATTCTGTGTGTCGGGACGTCATCCGCATTGCGTTACAAATGCAATTGGTATTTTCAATGGCGAGATGTTAATGATCTCGCGTGGTATACAGGAGGTCATGGGTTAGATCCCGACCCTGACGATGCCTGTATATTGGAGTTTGCCTGTTCTCTCTCCCCCATGGTTTCCGTGGATTTTTCTCCGGGTCCCTCCGTTTTTTTCCCTCAACGTTTATAAACGTGCGTTTAGCGTATGACTGCTGTAGATTTCCACGTGACAAGACACGTCGTTGAGTTATCATTTGTGGTCAGATCGCTTCTGAAAAAGAGCTACATAGCTCAGTGGGCCTTAACCTGGTAAAAAATTTATTGTAATAGTTTTAGTACACCGTATTGCCAAATCAATAAGCACAATGTCTGCCTCCTTTCTCTATGTCTCTCCACATGAAGATATAGAACATATATTTACAGATTCCGTCATCTGAGATTGCATTCTTTCAGCATTGATTTAATACAGCACTCCCAGAAAGCCGTGCGGCTGAAGGGATGTGTGAAAACAAATCCATACTTTTCTTTCCTAATGTGGAGAGACAGATATGGAAGATGCAGTCTCCTTATTTCGTCACTTATATTGCAAAACGGACTTGGTGATTATTTTTGCGACAGGACGGGCCACGTGATTTAGTCCTGGAATGTCGCCGAACAACGCAAGCCCCCGAGTGTGATTGTCAACGAAAATCAGACTCATTTTGATTTCCAAAAGAGGCTTGGAAATCGTCTCCTGCAGCTACATATCAAAACTTACAATATGTAAAGGAAGTGGCGTTTTCTCAGGGCATTAGCAAATCCGCTGGTTTCCCACCAATAACAAATACACTGTAATTTCTGCAAACAAGAAATATTAAAAGCGTGCCGTGTGCAGTAAAGCGGATGTTTAGGAACCCGCATCATTCCCGAGAGGACGTAGCTGCGACTTTATTTCATAACCTAAATCTAGCAGTTACACTCACAACCAGATTTGTAAGACCCATGGGCTTAGCGGCTAAAATGTTGTTTTATTTGATTTCCCCCCCCCCCCTCATTGTGAAAGAGACCTTTGTACTTTCGTCTGTGTATTTGAATTGCAATAATTCAATTATTATTATTTGGTTCTTTCGGTAAAGTCACGTAGATAGAAACATAATAATACAAAATGAAGTGAATAAAAATAATAATAAATAAAGTGAAAAAAAATGCGAATGTCGACTGCAGTAGCCTGGTTCTTAATCGGAGTGAGTGTACTGGCATCTATAATGTAGACTGTAGGCTGGTTATTAAGCTGGGTGAGCGTACTGGCAGTCTATAATGTATACTGTAGCCTGGTTATTAACCTGAGTGAGTGTACTGGCAGTCTATAATGTAGACTTTAGCAATGGTTATAAAGCTGGGTGAGTGTACTGGCAGTCTATAATGTAGACTGTAGCCTGGTTATTAACCTGAGTGAGTGTACTTGCAGTCTATAATGTAGACTTTAGCAATGGTTATTAATATGGGTGAGTGTACTGGCAGTCTATAATATAGACTGTAGCCTGGTTCTTAACCTCAGCGAGCGAACTGGCAGTCTATAATGTCGCCTGGTTCTTAACCTCGGTGAGTGTAATTCAATTACGCTTCCCACATATCCAAGCTACCTTTCGGGCTCTTGGCCACTTAAACAACGGGCACCCCCCCACCCTGCCCGCCCGTGTCTCCCAGCGTGCACGTCCGGTCACGTGCGCGCAGCACGCGCGTGCTCCGCTGCGCGTCACAATGGCTCCCACCTCCTGACGTGCACCTCGAACGTGACGTTGGGCCCCGCTTGCTCCAGCCGCTTGACGCTGAATCGCAGGCCCAGCGCTATCTGCAGCACGATGGGAAGGGACACGGGGGGAGGAGGGTAGCGGCGGTTAGGGGCCGTCCATAAATGACGTCACGCGATTTTTGACGATTTTTGACCCCCCCCTCCTTCGTCACACGGCGTCACAAAAAGCCAGACCCCCCCCCTCAAATATGATGTCACAAAGCTCTGCCCCCCCCCCCCCCCAAATATAAAACATGCTTCAAATCGCTTTAAACTATTGTCATTGTAGTGCGTATTTAATGTGGCGCTGCACTCTGATGTTGTAGGAGAAAACATTTATTAAAAAGTCTATTTAATTAAGTAGAACGTGTTGTCTATATTTATTTAAAGTTGCGCATTTTGATGTGACGTCACATTTCTCACCCCCCCCCCTCGTCACAAATGTCTGCCCCCCCCCCCCCCCAGGTGCGTGACGTCATTTATGGACGGCCCCTTAGGTAAACATGGGATAAGTCCTACTGTAAACGAAGCCATTAAGGTATTACCGCGTTGTTATTGCTCGCACATTCGATTACATGTCGGCCCTGCCTCTGGGATTGACGTCTCCTGCGATTGAGCGGGGTCAGCCGCGAGCCAATTTCCTGCCACGAGGCAGCCGCTTGTGATTTCCCGTGGAGAGAGGAGACGGCGAGCAGAGGCACGGCCCCACGTGCGGGTGGCCCCTCCTCCACGCGGCGCCTCTCCGGGTGCCCTCGTCTCAGTCCGACGCGGGGGTTAGGGGGCGCCACGGTGGCTGGGGAGATGTTGACTGCCTCGCCTGCTATGCAGGAGGTCGCCGTTCGATGTTGACCCTGACGGTGCATGTATATTTTGGAGTTTGTGTGTTCCCCCCCCCCCCCCCCCCCCCGTTGTGGATTTGTCTCCGGGTCCTCCGGTTTTCCCCCTCCACATTTAGAATCAACATCACGCGTTTTGAGTACTTGGCTGCAATACATTTCCACGTGGCGATAAGCCACTTCACTGGGTGATCGTTTGTGGCCAGGTCGCTTCTGAAAAACAGCTGAGTGGACCTTACCTGGTAAAATAAAATAAAAATAGTTTAGTTTAGATTTGTCGCCCGGTGGTCTTCACTTCACGAACATTTCGTGCTCAATTCATGTTTCGTTTTCAAAGTCTCAACTTTGGGCCGCGTTGACAAATCGACTGGCTTTCCGGGAGAGGTCTCCATTATTCAGAAACACCTGCACTTTTGAAGAGCATGCAAGTAAAATAATCGGGGTTCACCAATTCACCCAGCGAATTGATGAAGTCACCATTCTAGGCCTGGATTTGCTAACAAAAATTTTGTCTCTAGATTTTACTTTCTCATTTGAATTTAGTTTTCTGTCTCAATGTTGCACAGATTCCGTTAGCCTAAATGCAACGTCATATAATAGGCGCAACATTGAAAAGTAGAGACGTTCTCCACACGCGGTGCAATGAATGCTATCCTGAGTTTTAAGCATCGCTACCGATCGATGGGTCGACGCACCGTGACACTCCTCACGTGTGCGCCGTGCTGGGTCTGCACAGACGTTTACCGGCGCTGGTTGGTGGATCACCGCACAGATGGTGCGAAACTCCCTTGCTGTGGGCATCGAGGGGGTGCCGTACCCTGGATCGCTGGTACCGCAAAGTGCGGACTAATGTCATCTGTATGGGATAGAGTAGCTGCCCTCTCCGGTTTCCTCCCACACGTATGAACACTCATTATCTGGCTGAAAATTTCTTAATATATAGAGAACTGCAGAGCTTGGGCCATTTTTTTTTGCACCGGCTCACCGCCTGGCTGCCTCGCTCCCTGTGGTTCCTCAGCGATTGTGAGATTAAATTTGTATGAACCACGACGCTATATGAATCTCAAACATTAATATTATTAGTATTTAACATGTAAGACACACATGCATATTAAACTTGGCAAAAATCACGAATAAGTATGTTCTATTGAATGCGGCCTTGATGAGGAACTTTTGTCAGATAAGCCTACATCTGTGACTGCCCGAGCGTGGATAATAATAATCATGATAATAACCTCTATTTTACAAAGCGTCTTTCATATTAAAGTGTCTCAAAGCGCTGTACATAGAGATAAACTATACTCACAAGTATAGATTGAATCTAAGCGAATTAGAAAGCTGTTAATAACCATATCAACGACTACACCCGACATTCGTATAAAATTAAATAAAAACTATGATAAAAGCGATTAAATACGTGGTTTTCAAATCTTAAGTTACAGGCAAAGCCTGTACAAATAGGTGAGTTTTAAGACGTGATTAAAACACGAGTGAAGCAGACTTAGAATATCTAATGGACCGACACGAAACTAATCTCTTTTTAATTTTAAACAAATTTGTATTTAGCCAGGTAAGGCCGCCTACTGAACTATATCACTCTTTTTCAGAAGCGACCTGGCCACAAATGATAGTTCAACAAAGTAGCTCATCACGTAGAGTAGCAGCCAAATGCTCTAAACGCGTGATGTTGATTCTAAATGTGGATGGAAAAAGGACCCAGAGAAAAATCCACTTGACCACAGAGAGTGAGACACGCAAACTCCAAATATACAGCAGGCGTCAGGGTTGGAATGGAGCCCACGACCTCCTGCATACCAGGCGAGGTAGTTAACATCTCGCCACCGAGTGAGGGATTCCACAATCGCCTGGCTGCAGAAGGCTCCGTCTCCCACAGAACAAGGCAGTGCGCTCTTCGGGACAGGAAGTATTGTTCTCTGCGAGGTGCCAACGAGGAGCCCCAGTGGTGGCTGCGTCACGGAGGCTGCAGGAGACCTGGCAATGACGCGCTGCCAAATCGCCCCCCCCCCCCCCGGAGCTCTTTCATCTCAAATCCCGTTGTTCATACTCTCCCGTTCTTTCGGTAAAGTCACGTAGATGAAAAATAATAATAAAATAACACGACGTTTCGGTCGCAACACAAGCGTCCGTCATCAGGTGAGAAATAATGATCGGCTGTTGTGGCTTTAAATAGGCACGGGAGGGGGGGGGTGTAGAGTCGTGGCTGCAGGAGTTCACGGGGGGGAGAGGGGGAGAGTTTGTGGCGTGCAGGGACCGGTGGGGGCTGGATAAATTAGCATGCCCATGAGCTTGAGTTAGTAAACGAAAACAGCACGGGCGGGTGAGTGAAAATCACAGCAGTCGAAACTTGCCGAGTTGTTTACTGGAATATTGGCCACACTTCCCATGCTGTATGTACGATGGCTCTTTGGCAAAGTGACGTTTGCCACCGACCCTTAAATGTGGAGCAATCCCTGGATTGAAAAAAAATATTATCTTAAAAGTTTCAGTTTTATTTCCTCGTCTGTGGTCGGCTTGCCTTCGTCATCGTCCCTGTGAGTCTGGAACAGTGGCGGAGCACTTCAATTCCCCTCCTCTGTGACAACGGCGAATGCTCAATCCCCCCCGCCTGCGTCTGAACTGCGTCTGAACTACTGTAGCGGGGCAAGGCGTGAATCGCATTTGCATCACGGCGTCACTCGTCACGTTCGCTTGCCACGTGGAGCCTCACCCGAGACTCGAGGCTCTGTTTCAGGAGGGTCCTGCCAAGTTTGTACGATGCTACTGCTGTTGTGGCTGGCTGGCTGTGTGCAATCCAAATTGAGTAACTTGCGGATAATTTTACCAGCGTTGTGAGTGGGCAACACCAGTCGAAATGTATGTTTGATTTATATAGGAGGAAACTGGAGAACTCGGAGAAACCTCGTGCAGAACAGGGGGAGAGAGAACTCACACACCCCACAAAGGCACCCGAGTCAGGAATCGAACCCAAGCGCGTTCTTGCAGTGAGGCACGGGTGTTACCACTGCGCCACCCTGCTGCATGCAGGGTTGGTGAAGCGTAAACTATAAAGAGCAGTAGGACTGTGATGAATAGTCCCATAACAATGTTTTACATGCTGTCAATAGCGGATTTCCTTGCTACACGCCAGCAGAGCACGCACAGTGAGACGTGGAACATATGGCTGCAGCAGAGTAGGATGCACCCCATATAGAGTGCAGAGATCCATCGAGTAAGCAAAGAATTTTGTTCAGTAAACACGGTTAATCTGATTGTGACAGCGAGCGGCCAATCACCCGGCCACTCTCTGGCGAAAAATAAAAGCGTAAAAGAAGCGTTGGAACAATAAAAAAAATGCTTCTCCGAGTCTATTCTGCTGCTCCAATGGCACACATCGCTTACCAGGGCAGGGAGTTCGAGGTGGGAAAAACTTGGTGTCAAGGCCCGGGATTCAGCGCTGGGATTAGAGTCCGCGAGAAAGTGATTTGAGCATGAAATTGTGAATAAAATAAATAAGGTCTGGGTGTCGAGGCTCGGTGTGAGGGCAGGAAGTAGTTCGAGGCGTGATGGATGGCTGCGGATTAAGGCTGTGGGAGTATTGGGAGGAGAGCTTGGGATTAAGGCTGAGGTGATAAATCCAGAGGTGAGCCGTGGGCGAACGCGTGCTCGCGGCGAGACTTACGCTGCTCTGGCCGGCCATGGGGTTGCCCAGGTCGCACAGAACGCTCCGGGATGCATTCTCAGCCTTGTAGGAGCAGCTCAGCAAAGTCAGCGACTGTGCGGCGTCAGGGGGCGATGGGGTGTGGGGGGGGGGAGACCAGGCAGCAGGGTTACAGACGACGCCGCCACCGCCACATGCTCGGGGAATTGTTTGTTTTAACAGCAAGTTGTGTTTGAAATACAACTGCTTTTTATGATTTGGTTTTTTTTTTTCACCAGGCACATGCATTATTATTGTTTATTGTATCAATACGCACGGCTCTGTTTGACTGGGGAAAAATTTGTCATATTTAGTTTTATCGACCAATGTAGGAGGACTGTTTTTTGTCAAAATTAGTTCAAGCTGCAAAACCCAGACTGGTATCGACTTTCCGAGTCTCATCAGCAGGGTGTGGCCAGTTATTTATTTGTACGCGTACGAGTACAACAGTAAGTCATACCAACACGCACATTCACATTGCACCGACATACAGCATTCCCTCGTTATTCGCGAGGGATATGTTCCAGAGATGCTCACGAATAGTAAATTTCACAGACAATGATAATGGCCTGAAATAAACAAATACATACTTAAATAATACATCTCATAACTTTATCACATCACATTCTCTCCCATCACTTTATCTCATCAATCTATCTCATCACTTTGTTGCATCACATTCTATCTCTCTCTCTCACTCGATGCAGTCGTGTAGAGTTCCAGACAGCCAAAAATCGCGAATGGCAATTTCGTGAGCAACCATGGAATACTATACACAATACGTGAAATCGTGGAACAGCGTTAGAATGCAAACAGCACCATGACGTACGATTCAGCGGAAAGTCAAAAAAAGACGCACAGAAAACACAAACGCATAAAAGTTACCCAGCTCAGCAACAATCACACACTTCCCTTTGGCGAGTCGAATGAGAATCAGAATCTTTATTTATCTGGAAGAACCCGATAAGCTATGAAGCTCTATTTCACAGTCGCTTCACGCTGCACCGGACCCTTCGGTGCAGCCGTGTGACACTTTGCAACTCACAAAGGTTATTTTACACTATGAGACCTCCTTTACCAGTGGCAAAATATAGTAGTAGGTTTTTACCCTTTCAACTGGTACAAAAACTGAGACCTTTATACAAGGCATCATGTTTTCAATAACCACAACACAAGCAGTCAAAATGCAAACAAAAATAAACAACTCTGATGATGATAATGATGATATGCATATCATTATCATCAACAACTCTGATGATGATAATGATGATATGCATATCATTATCATCATCAGAGTTGTTTCTTTTTGTTTGCATTTTGACTGCTTGTGTTGTGGTTATTGCAAACATGATGCCTTGTATAAAGGTGTCAGTTTTTGTACCAGTTGAAAGGGTAAAAACCGACTACTAAAGGTTATTTTATTTCCGCCACACGTTGGGGCATCGGAGTGGCGGCCCTGAGGTCAGCAACCAAGAGGAAAACAAAGAGTCAAATGGCGGGGCACTGTTAGTGTGGATGATACACTTCCAGTGGAGCAGTGGCACCCAGCACTGGATGTAATAACCCCAAGCACACTCTCCGATGTTCACATCATACGAGCGGACGGTTGTTTATTTGTTCCCAAGTGTGGAGGATTCCCGATGAGAGGCGGCTTGGGTGTCTTGGAGGGACGTTCTCTGCTCGTGCCCCGAGTAATTGTGGGCCGCCAGATGCCAGGACCACTTTTGAAATATCACCGGCCAAATAACTGTCAAAAGGACATGTTTTTAATACGAACGTGCAAAAGGGTCATTTTTACACATAAACGAAGGCTCGTAAGCAACGCGGCCTCACAAGTGGAGCTCACGTCTCCCTTATCGCGACAGCCAGAGCCGCGAGACGAGAGAGGGCAGAACATCTCCCACGCGGGAAGTCATTCCTCGTCTTTTCTCTTTTCAGCCAGACTATCGTCATAAATTCTGTATTTCCTCCCACCCCCCCCCCCTATTTAAACTTTTATTTTCTGCGAAAACACATATCTCAAGCTCTTACAATTACTTTATAGTGGCCTAAATCAGGCAGGCTGTGAAAAGTTCAGTCTGGCTATAAGATGATGACTGCAGTTAAAATTGTATTTGGCCTGTTAGTGGTACGGGGAAAAATGTTAAATGCACAATGTAATCATATACAGCAATGCTGCTACTCTCATTACTAAATACCATTGGATTTAGAGATCCATTCGGTCTCAAGAACAGAGTTGTTTTAGGCAATACACGTTGGCACTTTATGACCTCCCATCTATTTTAATAAAGTTTTTCTCATTTTCTAACATTAGACATGTGCGCGTGCGCAGACAGAATGCAGTCCCTTGTGCGCTCATGTTTGGTTTCATTAGCGGCACATTAGTTGAAAACGAGGGCACAGTAGACGGATGATAAACATGCGAGCCATCTGATTTGGCTGGACGGAGAGGAAACTGCTGCTCTTGCAGCAGGCACAGCTGCGCCGTAGAGCTGAGGGCAGTTAAACACCCGGAGGTCACACGGAGCCGCGCCGAGCTCCGTTAACCACTCCGCTGAAATTTATTTCCGCCCGCAGGAGGGAGGGATGGATTATTACATTAATGGAGCAATCGGCGTGTTTTGTCCTCGCGGAGAGAGCGGCTATTGTTGACACTGAACAGTGAGGGTGGACAAAGAGGACTGATATATGTTTGGCAATAACATTTCATTCCCGTATTTTGGTACTGGCAAAGGAGGTCCCATGAAACAACATTTAAATCTTTGTGATTGTCTTTTTCGACACTGTCTTTGTCTTTTCGTGAGCCAGGCGAGAGAGCTCTGAAAATTATTTTTTTGCGAGGGCCACGGGACTAAGCCGGGCTATACAGTGTACTTAAAAAAAAGCCGGAACAATTTTAATTTACATATTTTCTATCACAATTTTAGTTGAGCATAACTTCGTTACGTGGGATTTTGCCGCAACCCTGGTACATAATTGCCTGCCCGCATGACAGGGCCTTCAATTCTTGCAGGAAGTGGTGCACTTTGGCAATTCCCGACAGAAATTGTGGGAATGTGAACATCGGCTCCAAACGCACGGGGCTCGATTGAAATTACACGAACAGCGAAGCTATCCGGTTCCCTGTAATCACAACAATCACTAGCCGCCATTAGCGGGTGCAACGGACACCAGCAGCGATTGCAGGCATCGTGCACCAGGTAGCGCAGCAACTTTCAGGGTTCATCGCGAGGCCAAGGATCGGTGTTCTACACCAGACTGACACAAGGCTCCCTCACGTCATTGCGTGAGGGGCCTGGGCTCGACTCCCGACTCGGGATGCTGTGCTGCGTGGAGATTGCATGTTCTCTCCCTGTTCTGTCTGGGCTTCCTGTGGGATCTCTGGTTTCCTCCCATAGCTAAATATACATACACGGCACTGTAAACAGTATTGGCGAAAAACATCTCAATGCTGACAAATCACCTGCGAGTTACACAATTGAAGGCACGTTGAACTTCTTTCACGCCGATTAGCATGGTTGGCTACGTACGGTGAAAAAGAAGTTCAAAACATACGTGCACGCACCCTAAGTAGCCAGTCGTGCTAATCGGAGGTGCGGGGGAAGGACAACAAACTAAACACAACAATTTACATCATGAGACCTCCTGTGCCAGTAGCAAGATATAGTACTAGGTTTTTACCATTTTGTCTGGCACCAAAAACGGACATATCATATCATTATCAGAGTTGTCTCTTTTTGTTTGCATTTTGACTGCTTGTGTTGTGGTTATTGCAAACATGATCCCTTGCATAAAGGTGTCAGTTTTGGTGCCAGACAAAAGGGTAAAACCCGATTACTATTACTAAACACAAGAAGCAATTCGTTTTCAATTTATATCGGGCCATGATTGGGATCACAGCAATAGCAACATCGCACCCGACTGCAAACTTGGCAAGACCCGAGCGTCATAAATGATAGTAAGGTTTGGAGATATGGGAAGACATTCGTTACCTTGCGAGTTCTAAGTAGAAATAATAACAAATCACCGCAGCTTTTGAGCTCGTTTCCTGTTTGTCGTCTGAGAAGCCGTCTCATGCCGAGGTCAGTTCACAGGACCAGTCTCCCATTGCACTCCAGAAGGATCACTGACCAAGCTGTCCGCCCGTTATGTATGTACCCCTTGTAAACCAGTGATGTTGATGAACGTGATTAGTTGTTTTTTGTAGAATATCTAGTGAAATGTGTTGTACAAATATATATGTTTGGAGAAAACTATATTTTTTTATTATGTACGTTTAATGTCGTGTTGTCAGTGGCATAAGAATACATTTGAGCCGATTCATCGTGATTATAGCCACCCCCCCCCCCACGTGACCTCTCCCGGGCGGCGGCAGTGGGACAGCGACTTGCTCCGTGTGACTGCCAAATGATCTCCGCCGAAGCTGAACTTCGCTAAGTTCAGCGCAACGTCCCGTGCACCGAGGGGTTTAGTTTGTGTAGTCGTCGTTACAAATCAGCGACAGCTGTGGGGAATCTCAACTCATCCCCGGAGGGAGCTTCAGATTTGCCTGCAGGACCTCAGTGGCGTTGACTCAGCGCTGTGACTGGCCTTGCCTCGTGTCCCAGCACCACGCACCCGGATACCTCTGCAGTGTTTCCTAGCACAATACCGTGGCTAGAAATAGCACGTCATTATGCAACAGTGGCACATCATGAATGCACTTCAGCGCCACAGCTGGACGAAGGCCCTCCCCCACGCTCTCTCAGTCGTGGGCGTTGTTTGTCCATACTTCACCGTGCTGGTCAGGGCGGATCGGTGGCACGGATCTCAATCGCCACCGATGTTAGCCGTGGACTCGAATACAACTCAGCTCACCGAGTTCTCAGCACCGGGTGCTCACCGACACTCGACTACCCCACATACAACTAAAACGGGCAAGTGCGTGACGTTGATGATCGACGTGACCATCATCTATGCCAGCGGTGGGCAATCTGCGTCCCGTGGAGCCCCCCTCGTGGATCGCCTGGCCTCGGTGTCTCTGTGGTAATGCTCGGGGGTCGCGGTGAGTGCACGAGCGACGGTGTCACGCTGCGGCCCACTGAGGCCAAGGAGGGCCTCTTGCGTGGCCCACCGACTCGTCCGCCGTTGCCCGTCACTGATCTCGACGGCGCTCGTGAGCAACGCAGCACCAACGAGGCGGAGGTGGCAGCGTTGGCAGCGTGCTCCCTGCACGCTCCCTCGCCACTCCTCCATGCACCAATCCACATCGCGAGCTCTCGCTTTCCGCTCTTGCGGTCCCCCCCCCCCAACCCCTCCGATCTCATCCTCACAAAAAAAACTTCCCAGCCAAGAGACTGACTTATTTGTGTGTATTTGTTTTTTTTGTCTCGGCCTGTGTTTAATAAAAACGACTTTGTTTAATAACTTGAAAAGAAAATAAGGAACCAGGATATCTCAAAATATCTGGATTGTGTACGTAATCATACTCGGGTTTATTACAAGAGCCATCATTGCCAGACCACGTGCCCTGTTCTTCGTTCAAACTGTTTTTTTAGCCCGTCTCGAAGATCTTTACAATAACGTGCACAAATGTGAACACGTGTGAGCCGAACCAGGGGGCACTCGAATTTATATGATCCAACATGGAAATCATGGCAAACTTCAGTTTATTACTGGGTACCATATTCGTTGAATACCAAGGTTTATGACTTTAATGTGTGTCTTGGTCTAGCACAGTGAGATCACATTTTAAATGTTGTAAATGAGAAGAGTTGCCAAAGTGCTCGAGATATCAATCATTCACTGAGTAAAGTTCAATCATTATCGCCACGTTGGCGAGATGTTAACTACCTCGCCTGGTATACAAGAGGTCGTGGGATAGAACTAAACCTATATGCCTGTATGTTTGGAGTGTGCGTGTCTCTCCACGTGGTCGCATGGATATTTTTCCCGGCCCTCTGGTTTTTCCCTCGACATTTAGAAAAATGCGTTTCGAGTATTTGGCTGCTATGCATTTCCACGTGATAATAAGCCACTTCGTTGAGCTATCATTTGTGGCCAGGTCGCTTCTGACTACTGCAAAGGTACTCGAATGTATACGTGTGAGTTTGTGTGTGTGGCGGTTTGGGAGCGGAAGTGTAGCGGTTAGCGTGCTGCTTTACGAACCCAGCGACCCAAGTTCAAATCCCGCCCGTGGCCAACATCGGTGATGATTATTTGAACCGGTCCTGGGCCTACCCTAGGTCGACTCAGCCTCAGATGAGTACCTGGTACCGTGTGTAAACATCGCCACTGGGGAGACAAAGGTGGTCGGGCGTGGTGCTGGCCACCTACCCCCTCGTGTGCTTTGCTGGCCTTCATAGGTGCTACTCCCTAACGGAACTTGGCCCAAAAAGTCTGTTCAGGCTATACGGGGGATCTTTGTCTTGTGTTGGTTGGGGGCACGGTTGATTGGACATCTATCGGTGGGGTTTTCACCCTGGTGTCAGAATGCTCCACATGCCCCACCCCTGCATCGCGATTTGTGGCAATTTACGGCGGGACCACGGGTTCTGCCAAATCTGCCCTCCAGAACGGTGCATAGCATCCGATCAATAATTCGAGTGGAAGTCGTTTTTATGAAAAAGTTTCTGCGAGCAGAACCACAACCCAACGTATGCAAGTGGGTCCACGATCTGCTTTTGTTTTGCGTTGGTTTAAGAATTCGCACACTGGGTTCGGGAGAATGCTTACAAAACTCTGTGCATGCATCCAAAGGTATAATAAACGGTCTACACATCCAGCAACCCCGAGAAAGAGGAAACAGCGCACGTCAGGGATGCCTGCGGCATTTCTGTTCACAACCACGGACTTAATCAAAGTGACATTTGTTGCATTATCATGAAACGCAATCAGATATATTTCCGTTACCAGATTCAGGACAGTTCATGATGGACCACAGCACCCGTTGATGTGAGCTGCCAAATCGACTGTAAATACGAAATGGCAGCTCCACGTCCTATTACCCTGCAGTGGGGTATCGTGGTATTTACGTGCCACGCCAAGAGCCCTGCTGCCTCTGTCGAGCAGCAGCAAAGCACAGCACACAGCGCCACGTCTGCTGTGCACATGTGGCTGCCTGCCTCTCCATAGGAGAGCAGATAAGAAAGAATAACTCAGACGTGAAACTTTCGTGACTGCAGTAATTCCTATTCTTGGTTCTTTCGGTAAAGTCACGTAGATATATAACACATTTATATATATATATTTTTATAATAAATTGCTTTTATGATTTTAAATTTACAAATGTATATATTTATTAAATTTCTATTATTTGTATTTTACATTATTATCATTTTTCTATCTACGTGACTTTACCGAAAGAACCAAGAATATAACAAGAATAACTCATTATAACCTAGCACATTGCATTTAATGAGGCTACTGATGTAGTGGAAGATTTTTCAAAAACTGTTGTGTTACTGTAACCATTTAAAATGAATCTGAGTAAATAATTTTTACAATAAACTTGCACGTGCATCAGCCCAATATGTTACGATGCGATGTCTTGCTTCGTCATCGCTCTTGATGCCCGTATAATGTTTATTTGCGTTAATTATGGTTTTGCGCAGCATTCGTTTTTAGAGCAACTGATTGAATTTACCTCGATGTCAAATTTGTTCTTTTAAAGGAAATTGGGTCAGACAGACACCTTGACGAAAATAACCAGACCACATCACCGGATTATTGGTCGTGGAAAAATCCTGGGAATTTTGCCAACAATTGGACGAAAAGCGACACTGGACAATGCGTGGGTTAAGCTCGTGATCTTGATGATTTTCTAACGTCTCAAATTAATACGAAAGTCTTGAACAACGAATCAGTGCATCGACGGAGAGACACGCAAAGCGACATTGCGCTTAAATTCATGAAAGCAAACAGGCAAGATTCACAGCTTCGCAAAACGGGCAAAACACATCTCTGTTTTGGTGCTTTGCTTCACCAGCGGTAAACAGATGCTCTAGTCGTTATTTCGTTCAATTCTTGCCGGTGTAAACACGCATTTGGCGACCCCAGTCATACGGCAATTTGTACGGGGAATGACCGACGCGAGTCTTCAGCAGAGTGGACTTTAAAGACCTGTGCCGTCATCTGTCCGTGTGTGCGATCTTCTTTCAGTATCGGCCCAAATCCAAATAAACAACTTGCAAACACATTGACAAATGCGAGGTAACAAAACCGTTTCAACAATAGTTACCGTAATGTAATTATTATTATAACTGTTCTATTATAGTTTCATGTATTCCAATTTTCCTATACAGAAGTGGTAATGAATCTCTACAGACTTCCCTCGGGCTTAAACAAATGAGACTGGATGTCACTGCGTGTCCTCGCACTCTTCACAACAGACTGTTGGCCAAACATCCCAACAGAGGATCACATAGCTGGGGCAACTGTTGTAGTTTCCTACGTCTCTGAATCATTGTCTCTCTCGCTGTCACCGACAGCGAACAAAAAACTGTGGCCGTTACAAATCCCACATTTTCTTTGTGTCTATCGGTAAAGTCACGTAGATAGTTTAACACGTGTGAGGCTTTCACGACCAATATTATTCATAATAAAGGTTTTTGGGTTAGATCGCGTTATTTATAGATGTGTGGCAACCCTCCACCGCCCGACACGGCCAATCAGTAAAAACGTGTCACGTTGACAAGAGACAAATAGTTCACTGCTTTAGCCCCCCGCCGGTGTGTTGAGTGAATCCACAACATTTACAATTTTTGAGTACGACGTTTCGCTGGTAATTACATCCAGCATCATCGGAAAATTTGCAATTTTTATTATGAATCACGTAGATAGGTTAAAATTAATTATGAATTTGAATTCCTGCAGTCACGAAAGCTTTAAGTAAAAATCCCACATTGTTATCACCTGCTAGCAACAGCAAGAGAAGATTAATGTGAAACCGTAGTGGTGGCTCCAAGTGAAGGGGTGGGACCGGGGCGGGCGATGGAGATGATTGCCACAAAAATGAGTTGACATTGCCAGAGAAAATACGTTTTTTTTTATTAACGTAGAGGCCTGTTTAAAAAAAAAAAAACTTCATTTCAGGTCCACCCAACCCCCCCCCCCCCCCATGTGGAAGTTTGCAAATCTACGTCTGGTGAGACGTCGATCAGCAAGGCCCTCCCGTGACGAGCCGTGGCCACGAGGTGGGCGCCGCATGTACAAGTCGGGGGGGCGAGGGGGTGGGGGGTGGAGGGGAGGGGGGCCGAGGGGTAGGGGGCAGGGCGGAGGGGAAGCGAGGGAAGGGGAGGTGGGGGCCTCACCTCGTTGCGGACGATGCCCACGTAGTCGGCCTCGGGGGGCAGCACGAGGACGAGCTCCGCCTCGTAGGCGCCCTCGCCCGCGTTCCGTGCCACGAGCGCCAGCGTCACCAGGTTCTCCTCCCCCACCAGCAGCGCCTTGCGGTCCCTGGGGGGGGGGGGCACGGAAACTCGCTCAGAAACCATCGCAGACGGCCCAGGTGCCCCTTTCGGGGATGGAGTGTGAGCAGCGGCAATGGAGGTGGGGGGGGGGGGGGCACATAAATACATAAATTCCGCGTGTGGAAGCCCCGGCACATGGAGCTCACGGGCTGGGGGCGAGGGAGATAAATGGGCTCGCTGCCCCACTTACGTAGGGGACTGCGAGCGGTCAGCCAGGTGCCCTTACACAGACGGGTGGGGCAAAGGCTCTTCATGGGGAATCTGATCATTGTTGTTATTTTATTATTGATAATAAAGGGGGTTGTTTTTGGGGGGGTTAGATCGCATAGTTATAAATGTGTTGGTAAACCCACCACCATCCGACACAGTCAATAACCAGCAGAACGTCGTGAACTCAAATGATAATGTTGTGGAGTTTCCAACACACAAGCGGTGTGCTGAAGTAGTAACTAACTGGCACGTTTTGTTTACGTGACAAATCTTACTAATTGGCTGTGTTGGGTGTTGGCGGGTTTAACGACACATTCGTATTTACGCGATATAACCCAATTTTTTTTTATCATAGATAATATTGGTCACGAAAGTCTATGCGTTAAACAATTGTATTATTATCGTTCCACTTGTGTCACCAGGAAAGCCTCACTCAGGAGTCTCAACGTTATTTTTCAAGAGTGTCCCGCAGTAGGGGGCAATGTTGTGACTCTGCTTGTGTCATTTGCGGGCAATTGATCAGCATCGGGATGTTTAGCCAACCCCCAGTCACACGCTGTATATTGTCTTAGCTATGCGAGGAACCCGGACAACCCGGAGGAAACCCGTGTAGTACAGGGGGAGCACGTACAGACTCCACACGGAAGGCTGCCCGAGTCGGGAACCAAACGCTGGCCGTTCTTGTTGCGAGGCGTGAGTGTCAGCACTCTGCCGCCCGATAACAAATCTCCTGCCGCCTCAGTCCTCCATAGCTACAGTGGGAAGAGCCTCAGCTTCCGAGTGGACTGCATGGTAGCTGCAAGCTGGACTAGACTCTGAGGATGCATTCGTCTCTGACATCCACCGGGTCACACGTGGCTTTAGGAATTTGCACTTTTTCAAGCAGAATTTTCTCTCCAGAACCTCTTGTCTCTGTAACCCGTGGTGATTTACTGATTTCATGTGTTGCTCCAACACATGCTGAGCATATTTTAGAAAGTGTATATAAAAATTGTGCTGACTTGCTCGACTTTATTTTTCAATCCCAACTTTTATGGCATCGATTGAACACACAATCTCCTGCATGAGATCTCCTTTTTGTCTGTGAGTGTAGAGGAAGGGGAGGAATGGACGTGAAAAGAAAAGTTCACCCCTCGGAACATCGGGGATGATCCGTGGGCCACGATTGATTTGAAATGTGGTGTCACTGTCTGGTAGGGCGACGTCCGTCTCACAACACGTGTCGGACATGTATGATGGTCGGAGCCTCATGGTAACGGCACAGCGCAGGGGTCGGCAAACCTGCGGCTCTGGAGCTGCACGCGGCTCTTGAAGGGCCGCTTCGTGACACGTGACTTAGCAAGGAGACCTCCGTCTCGTATTCACGTGCATTGCAGCTCTTGAGATATTGGGTTGTTTTAACCGAATTCGGAAAAAAATGGCCTTTCTTGTTATTTTGGTTGCCGACTCCTGGCATAGCAGATCTGTCAACCCTCGTGGACGATCCACTGTTGGGGAAACGATCGATAGATGAGAGGAGTTTGACTGTCTGGTGTTGGCATCAGGCCTGGCTCCAGCTACTCTTGGATGAGGGGGTCCCGTAGAACTGGCATGTAGAGGGCCACCGTATCAGTGATCACCACTAAGGAAAGTGAACTTGGGTGGCCCGAAGGAGCATGTGAGTGTGGCTGTGCGTGCGTGTGGCTGAGAGTGTGTGTGGCTGTGTGTGTGGTTGTGTGTGTGTGTGGCTGTGTGTGTGTGTGGCTGTGAGTGTGTGTGGCTGTGTATGTGGCTGAGAGCGTGTGTGGATGTGAGTGTGGCTGAGAGCGTGTGTGGCTGTGTGTGTGGCTGTGTGTGCGTGTAGCTGTGAGTGTGTGTGGCTGTGTGTGTGGCTGTGCGTGCGTGTGGCTGAGAGTGTGTGTGGCTGTGAGTGTGGCTGTGTGTGCGTGTGGCTGAGAGCGTGTGGCTGAGAGCGTGTGTGGCTGTGTGTGTAGCTGAGAGCGTGTGTGGCTGTGTGTGTGTCTGTGTGTGCGTGTGGCTGAGAGCGTGTGGCTGAGAGCGTGTGTGGCTGTGTGTGTGGCTTAGAGCGTGTGTGGCTGTGTGTGTGGCTGTGTGTGCGTGTGGCTGTGAGTGTGTGTGGCTGTGTGTATGGTTGTTTGTGCGTGTGGCTTAGAGAGTGTGTGGCTGTGAGTGTGGTTGTGCGTGCGTGTGGCTGTGAGTGCGTGAGCGCACCACGTGACCGAGAGCTTCAGCTTGGGGATGCAGACATTGTCCTCACCACAGTCAAGCAAGATGTAGGCCTGAGGAGGAGACAAACATCATCACTGTCATCATCATCGTCGTCACAAACCAATCATCAATTTTAAAGGCAACACGACGGAGGGAAATGTTGCTAACTGTGCGTGTGTGTTGATGGGGAGACGAGGCAGGGATGTTAGACGTCATTATGGGCATCAGGTGCTCATCCACATTCTGTTGAATTGGGTATTGGCGCGTGTCAGAGAACTCAACAAAACAACGATTACTTACAATGCCCCATTGGCGTTGTACAAAGCTACGTCACTCTAAATTGAGTGAGGCCAGACAGGCAACGCTGAGCAGGCTAACAACCGCTCCATTCAGTTTTCAAACTTAGTGTTAGAATGAGCATCAGAGTGGCGTTCATCTCCACCAGCAATTCCGAGCTCACTGTGGAAATTCCACATTCCCATGGTAACAATAGTTGAATTGTAATATAGCATCGTTCATGCAAAGCTGCATCTCACAACGCTGTACAAGACAACAGCTGAGCAATTGTATATATATTTTGCACCTCGCAATAAACCACATAGGATACCAAAACCAAGGTCAACTGAATTAAAACTGTGGGGTGAAGCACTCCATAGGATGACCGCTATTGATGTCCCACAAAGTAGCAACAATTGTATTGACCCCAGAGGGATGACGATGAGCTGAGTTGACCCTCAATCCCCCCAAGCGGGATGCGATCTGGAAACCCGTCAACAGCGTCGTCTATCTACTTAATGGCTGCTCACTTTGGAAAAATAGAAACCGGAGGGCCCATTTCACAAGTTTAAATGTATGTATGTTGAACTTCTTTCGCACCATACGCAGCTAATCATGCTGAATGAGAGTCTAGACTGCCGTGTGTCTGCAACAGACGGGAGATGATGATGGTCGTCAAAGTGTGGGGGATTGCTGCTGTTGCTGGGAGTTTGTGGCCCAGAGGCCCTCCATAAAGGGGCCTGCATGGGGAAGGAGAGAGTGGGCCCGAGCTCGCTGGTGAGCATGCGTGAGCTGCACCTGCTTGCTGACGTGCTGCGGGCTGGAGGGGTGGAGGACGGGGTGGAGGCCGTGAGGGCCCCGCCTCGCCTGCTCATCCAGGCTGAGGTTGAGGCCCACGGAGATTGGCGTGAGCTTGTCACGGAACTCCGACTCGCCCTGCGGCACAGCCAGTGGCTCGCTCAGTGTCTCACTCACAGCCATTGTGTTAAATACCTTCAATGACAACAGAGTAAGGTGACATTTCTTAATGAGTGCATGAATTAGTACGACTCTTAATTACAAAAATATGTGGAGGGCCAATTATTTTTGTCATTAAAGCCTTACACTGAAGTGGCAGATATTACTCTGATATCAACACGCATCACCGCAGAGCAAGGAATCTTTGGAAATTGACGTTTGCATGACAAAATCTGAATTTTTATTATCCAGGAGAAATCCGATGAGCGATAATAAATCTTTTACACAGATGCCCATGAGGGGTGGGTCGTAAGGTTACTACAACAAACATTACAAAAACACGAGAGGAGTGCAAAGTGTAGGAAATGTGAAAAAATCAACAACAAAAGACTTGTTATTTTACCAGGCAAAGCCCACTGAGCTATTAGCTTCTTTATCAGGAGCGACAGGGCCACATATGATAGCTCAGCGGTCGGGAACCTATGGCTCGCGAGCCATATATGGCTCTTCCAGTGACAGCATATGGCTCCCAGACAATTTTGAGTTGAAAATAAATAAATAAATAAATCCGTTTGGAACTGATTTTAAAATACTTGTGATATTGCTTAATAATACTGTGTCATTTAAAAATAAACAGAAATTAGTTTTGAAGATAAATTTCACGGGTCACGCCTGCATGAAGCTCAACCTCACCACGTACGAACCAGACTACAAGGCCATCAGCAAAACCATGCAGCACCAGAAGTCGCATTAAAAGTGTAATAAAAGGACTCGAACACTTCTTTCTGTCTTCGTGTCTTTATTCAGGTTCACGTCTTTACCCACACGGCACGCTGTTATAACTCCTGTATTTGTAGCCCCCGGCTATTCACTGCTATTATAGCTTCCTCACCCCTCTGACTCTCTGCTTCATCTACTGTAACCTCCTCCCTGCAGACTCGCTGCTACCCCTATGTGCAGACCCTCTGGCTGTCACTGTATGCAGACCCGCTGCCCACTCTCTCTGTGCAGCCCCGCTGCTGACTGCAGCCTCCTTGCTGCTTCGGGTCGGTCACCGCTGGCCAACGGTGCCGATCCTCGCTTCCCCCGTGTTCGTGGCGATCTCGCCACACCCCGCTTCGCCCTTCGTGGCCTTCCTCTGTTCCTGGTTCCCCGTCACTCCCCTTGCTCTTCCGGTTCCCCTCCTTCTATACTCAACCCCTCTCCCCCCCACGTGACCTAACTCCTCCCCCCCTGACGGCACCTCAGAAGGGCCGTTTACAACCGCATTACATCACCCTCCCCCCTAAAGAAAATCCAGCCGACCTCGGCTGAATTGCAACCTGAAAAGCAATGCGGGTGTAAAGGGCCAACACGCAAAAAGACACGAAGCATTGAAGAACATTATAACAATAACACAACATAACACAATCTAACGAAACGTGAGGGATTTCGAGCGAGTACGGGTAGCCGGGCCGTCCCGGACGGTCGGCGGCCCACCCGCCGAGCGGGAACGTGGAAGGGTTTTAGGGGCGACGGGCGCAAGTTCTTCCGTCGCCATTGGAGGCCCGCCACTGTCCCGCTCGCGTCCAGAAACATCCCGTACTCGCGTCCGCGGAGGGATAGGAAGAGCTGCAGGTCTCGTGGGTTCTGCGGCTCCGGTCGGCGTCCCACAAGCGGAAGGTCCTCCTCCCTGCGCTGTCACGGCCGGCTTGTCTGTGAAGGGTACGACAGGCGCTCTCGCAAGGTCAGCAGACACAGGCAAGGGCGAGTCGGCAGCAACAGACCCCGGCAAGGCAACTTGGGGAGA